TACCGTCTTGGAGTTTTTCAAAAGATCAAACAGAAAAGATCATCTGTGTCAACTTTTAAGATCGTTTGAATCATTTATCTTAAGCATAGGAATAAAAAGACCAAAAAAAAATTTTCTTAAAAAAAAAAAACTGAACTATTTTTGATAACAAAGTTTGGTTAAATTCTTTTTGTTTCTAGTAGCTCTATTTTCATCAATATATACAGCATATAAGCAACAATTTCTTTATTTTAATGCTTTAATGTATATATATATANAACTCCTATTTTTTGTCAACTTCTGACTTATAGATAATGGTATGGATTGGCACAGCAGGGAATATATTGACCTTATGCTTTTGCACTTTGCATTCAGCAATTCTGTTAAATCCATAGTATTTCATTTAGAATTTGTTTGTTTTGAGTAGAAACTGGTGCTTTTGAAATTCAGGCTAGCCTGGAAACTTCTTGATACGACTAAGGTATGTTATGAAATTTCATGAAGACTATAAATATCTGATATAAATATCTATAAATATCTGACATTTTAATGGTTAAATTCAATAAAGGAAATTCATTTCTAATCAGACAAATAAATCTTGCTAAATTAAGGAAAAAAAATTAAGACAAAAGTTATTTAAAGCAATTTCATATTTCGTTATAGCCATTTGTGTTTTGGGGCAAAAATCAATAAACTGTTTTTCTCTTTTTGTAAAAACTGTTCAAGCGCTAGGAAACGAATACTTTTCTTTTCTTAAAAATCCAAAACAAGTTCTTATGTTTTTGCGCAACTATTTTATTAGATTTTTAATTAAATTATAATTATCTCATGTTTGTTTTCTGTATCCTCTATTACTTATATTCAACATACAGATTTTAAATGCATCACAAAGATAAAAAGAACATTACTTATTGAATAATATTTAACTTCGATATTTAATTAAACCAATCACTTAATACATATATACAGTCAGTTATTAAGCAAGTGATAAATTGTTTATTCAAAATCAGTTTGAGTTCAACTTTTCATTAAAGATTAGGCACGCTAATAATTTAATATTTGGTAACTCGTGATGCAACATGCCATTGATAAATAATCTGGAAATACATACTGGTAATTCATTATGCCATTCTTCAAAAGGAGGTAGATTTAGGGAACAAACTCTTTAATTTCCATACTCAGTAAGGTTAATATATGTATATAAAAGTTCAAAATGAAGATGAAACAAAGGAAAATTACAGATTAATGGAAAAAGGGGGAAAAAGAAAATTAATAATGAAAATAACAAAAAATAGGGGGGGGGAAATAAATCTGAAAAAAAGGATATAATTCTTTTGAAAAATCCGGAAAGTAAAACATATAGTATTTTCATCAGCCCACACGATTATATCCGCAAAAAAGAGCGCTTTCTAATATCGTATCAATATAACCGAAGCAAAATATATCAATACAATAGTGTGAGGAGCACTCAAAAAAGTTTTACAAAAATTACAACAAATGAAATAAAAACAATAAGTAAAAATAACATATAAAGAAAAAACAGAATAAGACATAAAACATAATCTATAAAGCGAGTAGCGAAATCAAATAAACTTACATGAACGGGAAATTTTTCAAAAATGATTTAAAATATTTTCGTAACATGATTGCCAGATTGCAAAATATGAAAACGAAAGCGCAAATTGAGATAGAGGCGTAACTAGAAGAGTTTTGTTTTAAAGTGCGTTCTTACTGCATTACTGAAGTGCGTTTGATTTGGTAGTTAACAAGGATGGGCCCGAAAATGGATGTGCGCAAGATAATATTATGCTGGATAATTTAAAGAAGTTGACTATAAATAATTTTGGAAAATAAATATTTATTTAAAAAAATATAATATTGTCTTAAATAATTTCCTTTGGTATGGTACTGTGGTATGTTATTTTCTAATACCTGACTAAGTTTGAATATTATGGGTTAATATTAAGGGGATGCATAGGACCATTTATCTATACATCAGTGTATGAGCATCAAATGTGTGCAGATGTACAGTATATGAAATACCAGTATAGGAGAATCATTGTAGAGAAGAATTCAATTTTTAAATTTTAGCCTATTCGATGAGAGTATACAAGGTTCGTAAGCAAAATCAGTGTCCAATTTAGGAATTATTTTGTATAAATTATATTCTTTAAAAATTCTTTTTAAGTATACCTATTTGCTGTGATAAATTCCAATAACCGAATCAGTCAACTACTTCTTATTTCTTCAAAAGTATCGAAATGCACTGTATCGCAATTGTACTACTATAGTACCGCTATGCCCTGTATCGCAATTTTGACTGTACTTCTTTGGTTATGATTTCATTTCAATTTTTTTGTCAGTGAAGTCATTGCTTTGCAAAGTGTTGCAGTTTATGAATTATGTAAACTTTAACCCATTAAATAGCTTTTTAACATTTAACTGGCACTACACTCATAGAATTGTGTAGATCATTCATATAATAGGGTAGAGTGTTGTACTTTGGATCAGTGTCAACATTTACACCTTTTAGTGAAGAATTCGTGTATGAAGTATACACTATCTGCTATGTTCATGGGTGTTTCGAGTAAACGCTCAAGAACTTCTTTTTTTTTTAACCCATTGGCAAAATGGGTCTTGGTTTGGATTTCATGGAGTCCTCACTTTTCAGCTACAATAATCAAGAGTAAACACTGCGCATGCGTTGATATGGCGACCACTGCTGTTTGATAATATTTTTGGAATTCTTTTTATCACTTTTAATTTTGTTATGCATTAAGATGGTGAGTTTATTTTTTGAGATATGGGATTAGAGAGATCCCATAAATACTTCTTAAGATGCGAATAAAAGAGAATTTCCTCATTTGAACGATACTTTTGTTTTTATTGTTTCAATTAAGAATCAGAAATTCTAACCTACAGTTCAAACTGGATCGTTTTCAATACTAATTCAGGTAAATATCACAATTAAAGAGGGTCCAGACTGATTGACACGGTCTCAACAGTTAGAGTAGAAGCAAGACAAAAAAACGAAGCCAAGTCATAAACTTACCGAGGCTGAAAAAGCCAAAGAGCGTAGACGGGAATACCTTAAGCGTTACACACAAACGGGAAAACGAAAGGATTCTGTTCGCAAGCGCAAGCATGACCTATCCGAAAATGAACCGTTCACAGAAAAGTTATATTAACGAATATTCTTATAGTGTATTCCCACAAAATTTCTAAAGTTTTGTGAATAAATTATTACATCTGGCAAAATTACCGTGATGAATGTTAAAAAAATTAAAAAAATAAGCAAAAAACATAATTCTGGTTAATGAATTCAAAATATACGGTATTTTAACCGTTCATTTGGTAATTTACATTGGCTGATTTTCAAAATTATAGTTCTTATTACCACACTAAGTAAAAATACAAAAATTATTACTAAATTTAACCGAATAAAACGTTTTTATACCGCGCTCTAGGTTATAATAACATTATCAAAATGTATCACATTTGCCATATTTGATCAAATTTTATAAGACCGTATTTCTTTCTTAATTTTACCGAACTAATTACCAATAGGTTTCGGTAATAATTACCTTGTCTCTTTGTGCTCCCATAGATCCAGAAGACACCGTAAATTTTACAGTATTCAGGAAATACTATTTTTCCCAGTATACCTTTCGCAAAAAAAAATAAATAAATAAATAAAAAAAAAACGGGCCACCCTGACCCACACACTTTTGATCTATTAATTGAATCCTCACGTTCCAGGACTCATTCTTAAAAGTTTGAGAGGGAGATTTCAAATATACTAATTAGTTAGTGCAAACGATATTTTAAGCTACGAAATCAGATACAAAAACATTCTTTTTCTGAATGAACATACCTTTTTTTCGTCAGTTTCGGATTTATGACCTCAGAATCGAATCAAATCTGAAATCGAATTATAAAGAAGCCGTATTTTTACAATTAGATTTCACAGGAGCAATTCAACCGATTTCGCATAAACTTTGTATTTTGCCATTAAATTACATTCTTTGATATGATGTAACAAATTGTACACCTTACAATTCAAAATTTTTCGACTATCATTAAATAAAATAACAGAAAATAAATATTTACTAAAAGTTTTACTTTGCATGGAATTAGCTTTGGATAAACGACTTTTATAACCGTGCGCAAAAATATTTAAATTCGTTTCAAAATTTCTCGAGATATGGCAAAATACACAAAAAAAAAATAAATAAATAAAATTAACATTAAGGAGTCCAAACTTTGGACCTCTTTCCTATTCAAACTATTCAGAGAAAATACGTTTTTGTGTCTGATTTCGTTACTTGAAATATCGTCTTCACTATATAATTAGCATATTTGAGATCACCTCCTTAAATCATTATGATTCAGTCCTAGAACGTTAAGATCCGCTCATTAGATCAAAATTTATTCAGGATTGTCCCTTTTTTTATTTTGCGCCCTGTAAGCTGGATAAATTATGAGTGTTTTACTTTATTATTTTTTAAATTGATTAAAATTAAAGGTTAATTTTTCCAGGGAATAGATTTCTTTCTCAATCGTTTCAGTTGCTCAAAAACCTGTAAGGTTGTTAGAGTATCTGAAACTTAAACCAAAGAAAACAGATTATGAAGAGTTCCTTCACTACCCTAACTTGAGAAAAAATAAATAAAACTCAACCTTATTCCGTTAGTTTAAAATCTCGCATATTATATTTTATCTCGCCAAATCAATGTAGCCAATTAAGACAAAAACGAACTTTTTCACTTTTTGAAAAACAAAATTATTTGCATTAAGTTTATTATGTAATGAAAAAAGTCTCAAGCAGACCCCCTTAAAATATCGTGAAATAGGAGCTGTAAATACATTTTGTGAGCTGTTTCTAGTACCGAAATCGACATAATAATTTATTTTATATAATGGAAATATTTATTGTCAACATGCATTATCCAATAATCTGCACAGTTATGTCGAAATCTCATTTAATAACGGGATTAGGATAATTATGAGGATGAACTTACCGTCTTGACTCCGACAAGTTGATCGTAATCAGGAGAATAACTGACTCGATAAACTGTAATAAGGCTACAACAACACACACATCTTCCTAAATACTTCCACTAATGTATGTTACATTTATTACGCTAACATGTGGCGTAACTTTTCTTTCCCAAATGATTGCGGGTTTGAATGTGAAAATATTCCGAGCAATTCTGGTTTAAGTCTTCAAAAGAAGTATTATTTTAAATGAAAAATGTATATACTCTCAACTAATAAAAACAAATTCTAAATTTTTTTTAATTATTTTACGGTGAAAACATTTTGATAAAATTACCGTATTGTATGAAATTTCTGATGAAAAAAAACGAAATTCTAGTTAATAAAACCAAACTACATTGTATATAAAGCATTAATTTTTCTGTTAATAAGGTAACGATTTTGCAGAAATTCTGGTTTTCAAATTTACTGTTCTTATTACCTAGCATTTAGTTAGAATACAAATGATTCTTTAAAAAAATCTTACTTTTCTAATTTTAGTTATTGAAAATGATTGTTCTGTTTTCATGTACTCAACTATCAAAATACAATTGAATTTCAAGAGTGATTTTTATTTTAAAATATTAGGGAAACAACTCTAAAAAATATGTGTTGTTTAGAGGAGAAATTTAGTACGTAGTTTAATTTTAAAAAAATGAATTAATGCTTAAAAAGGGGTCTCCAGATTCTTTCTACAATTGTAAATGCAAATAAAAATATATCTTCGTGTGTTTAATTAAGGTTGGATAAAAATTGTAATGGATTTAAAGATGCTGAAAAGATTATGAATAAACATTTAAATGAAGCTGAATGGAATTCAAAATTTTTATTTTAGATTTTTAATGGAAGAACTCAGCTTTTTAAAAACATACCTAAATTGATTGAAAAGAAGTTGATTGTAAGTCTTTAAAAAAGAAATTATAACTTAGTAAAGATTTAGATTCTTGAGTTGTTAAAATTCTCAAATTTAACAAATATATATAATTTCTCTGAATTTGACTGCGTTGGTAAAAAAGGTTGCAACAGATGTGAAATAAAAATATAATTACATTTTAGTATATTATATTTATATAAAAACCAGTGCCTTGTCTGATTCAATTTAAAATTTGGAGTAAATTTTTATTAGAAAAATTTAATTAATTTAAAAGCAAACTTGACATTTTTTAAATAAAAAAATTGGCTTTCCGGTTCTAAATAAGATTTAAATAATATGAAAGAAATACGATTTAATGTTTGGATAAAAAAAATCTAGTTTCCAGCATAAAATGCGAAGAGAACACATAACTCCCTGAAACATGTTTCAACTTTCGCTTAATTAAATACAAAGCTTTATTTGCCTATCGAACATTAAGGATTTAAAAGTTAATATCTGAAATGTTAGTTTTAAAGCTAAAAATATATTTCCAATGATTAGCAGACTAAGTACAGATTAAAAGATATTAATAATAAAATATGGAAAATCTAATTTGCAAATCTGTCCAAAATGGCACCATTATAAAAAGAATACAATATTTATAAAACTTCTCGCTGTTCCATCCATTTTTTAATTAAATCTCTAATTAAAAACACCGTAATATATGTTTTAATTAGTATTTAACCGTATTTTTGGAAATATTTAATTAAATCAAAAACTTTTTTTATTTAAATTTTTAAGGATTTTTTTTTATTTTGCTCGATTTTATGTAATAATAATTTATGCCTCATAATTTATTTTGACGATACTAAATATATTTAGTTGTAAGGTATGAAAATTTTTACTCCAATTTTGCTTTATATTTTGAATGGAAAAATTCAGAAACTGATTGAATTGATTGATTTTATAAATTAATTCAATTGATATGACATGAGCAAAATCTAAAATTAATATGAAAGAGCTTTCCCCCGAACTATTGAATAATTATTGGCTATAAATTCATCCTCCCCACTATTTTGTCAGTAAGACGTAAGCAAAAACTCTTATGTTTATTCAGAAAAAGTGCGTTTTTGAATGTTTGACAGAAATATTTTAGGTATTCCTCTTCGACCATAAAAAATGAACTTCGAAAAATGATTATTAGACTAAAAGTCATTCAAATAAACCTTCTTTTTTCTGGTGTTTATTTAATGAGTGAGTTTATTTGCTAATGATATTTAATATTTAATATTTGATATTAAGTAACCAAATTAAAGTGGTGATATTACTCCTCTTTCGCAATAATTATCAAAAATCAACAAAATGGTTCAGATTTTTGTAGTTATGGTAACTACATGAAGTTAAATTTTACAATATAACTGTTTTCAGCAATATAAGACTATCTTAGCAAACAAATTGTGCAATTTGCAACCACTGTGATATAAACACAAAATATTCTCATGATTTTAGAATATTCGAGCATTTTGTAGAATATCTCTATTGATTACATAGTGACAGACTTTGCAGAGGTAGGGATAAAGACTTATATTGTATACAAACTTTTAGAATATTGCTATTTAGACAAATGAGGTATTGCTTTGATGTATTTTTTACACTGCATCGAATCAATATAATAGTACTAGCTGTTTAGAAGTGAATTAGGTTTTGTGTTTTTAAAAAAGTACTGCTTTATACCTACACCTATCCGACATTACTAACTAATTGTTTTCGATGCATTTTTATCTGTTGAGAAGAATGTTTTAAAATAAAGTCTATAGGGCCAACATTTTATAAATTTAAAGGTTTAAATAATAAACGAATATAAGTGAAAAATTTTCATACTTAAGAACCCTATTATTTCTAAACTAGTAGTACTATCAAAATCTTTTTGATTTTATTAGATAAAGAATAATAATTTATATAAGAAACAATGTCTCACTATGGCGGAGGTTGTTCTCTATCAGTAGCCGCCAATATTCGTATAGTGGAAAATAACTTCATGATTGTTCATTTTGGCCATTAATGAATGGATTAGAAAATTAACAGTCTCCAGGAAAGAATATACAAATTGTTTAGTGAAATCTAGATTTTATTAAGCATAATTAGTGATATAGAGAATGGCCATTTCTTCATCCAAAAAAAGAAATCCCTTAAAGTAATGAGATCAGAATACCCTCTTGTTGAGAGATCATACGGCCAGAATATCATTTCTGACGGTTAGAAATTAAGACTGGGGAGGCTCCACAATTTTAAAATTAAAAGTGAATACAATTGTTCCCAACGGACACAAAACTTATGGGTAGGAGATCCAAAATTGGCGATTTATCAAAATATCACATAGCCAAAACAAAGTCAACCAGCATATCAATATTGGGTTTAAAAGAACACCTTGGCGATCACGAGTCACCAACAAATTTATGAGAATTATTACAACCATGCAACTGAAACATATTTTCGGTTAGAAAATTAGAATAAAAAGTTATAACTCGATTTTTGTCTTCGATTAGAAGCGGCAGTGAATTAATGAGTCTGCATTAGTAATGAAATAAAAAGTACCCGTTGCATTGATCGATGCAAAAGGAGAATAAATATTTTCTTCTCATTTTAAAAGATTAAGTCTTTGATTTATTTTAAATGTAATTATATTAATAAAAATCAGCTTGAGTAATGAAAGATATTTTAAGAGGATAGAAAATAAATATGTAATGCCAATTGCGACATCACACTCACTTTTCTAGATAACAATGACAGATGCGTGACAATGATGACAATGACAGATATCAAAGATAATAATTGGATAATCAAATAGCAATAAGTCAAAAGGTGAACTTTGTACTCGTGAAACTATTATAACTCTCATAACCTTTAAATTACTAATTTTATTTATCTAATACTATTTTTTTTTCTATTTAGCGTAAAAAAAATTACGCATAGCAAACAAGATCTCACTTGCTTTGATAGCAATGTCAAACGTATAAAGAAGTATAACTACAAAGTATAAGCTTAATAAAAAATAAGTATAAGTCTTAAGTATTAATCTCTTAAGCTTGAGTTTGAGTATTATTACTGTGTGAAAGTACACAACAACAAAAAACAATACCTTATCTGTCTTTATAGCAATATTTAGGTCGATTTATATAAATTTAGGCTTCCCTCTCACTCGGTTTGTTCCTCTGGTGGAATATTAAGTGACTTAGCATCTTAATCATATTCAAATCGCGCACTATTAATAATAAATTATATTTATGATCTGGCTAATTAAGCATTATTATTGATTTTTTTTATGTATTTCCACTGATATTATTTATTAAGAATTAACATCTAATAAGTTTATAAAAATAAAATTTTAATTATTCTTTTTTGTTTTATAATTCTAGCTCGAGTAAATGTAAAATCTAATAGTTTTAAAGCAATTTTTCTGAATAAATACTTTAATTTTGTACTTTTTTTGTAAAATAACACATTAAAAAAAATATTATTACAGATAAAAAAAACATTTCATTATTCTGTCTTCGATTAAACCTATAATGATCATTTCAAACTAAGTAATAGCTGTGGTAAGATTTTAAATAAATGTTTCAGCTTAAACTGACTTTTCTTTTTATAAATAATTTAAGGGATTAAACAAGAAGCAAAAGAAGAAAATCTTTAAAATAATTAGATATATATATAAAAAGCACAAATTAATGAAAGGATTTTGCTATCTGTTAATTAAAATATAAAAGGACATGAAAGGACTTGAAAATTCTAATTTTTGTTTATACGTACCCAAGCATTTTTTTTCTTGGACTCAATGAAGCATTTTAAAATTTCCGATGTTGTTTTATCTAATAAAACATTCTTAAAGTACTGTAATACATAAATTTCGATCTGATATGCTTCAATGACATATTTTTATAGAGCTATTTGGAAAAAATATAAATTAAATTGTTTCCTAATTTTTCTTAATCTTATCGTTTTGTTTTTAAAAAATTTTTGAATTGGAGAAATGATATACTAATTGATTCGTTGGAATACATAAGCGAAAATATTACAGAATAATGCTCGATGGAAAAGGTTAGAAATCTTAAAATTCGCATTAAGTTAGAATGTGTAACGAGGAACATTAGATTAAAATTTTTGGAACACGAAAAATTTATTCTAATTTTTAAATAGTTTGATC